CCAGACTCCCAATCTGCAGGATTTGAATGACTCAGTGTGAAAAGAGATCCATTGGATCCATTTTGATCTGCATAATAATTGATATTAGAAAACAGAAATATTATTTTATTGTAAATGTTAACCATAATATTTATTTTTCTCCTCCTTCATCATCCTCCTTCACTACAATGGTTAAACTTACCTTTTTCTCTAAACTGTAACTGTTTTCCTTGAATCCTGTTGCTATGGTCTTGCTTACGTTTTGTGTGCAAAACTGGAACAGGTTCTTTCCCACCCCATTCCACAGGACTGTGCGCTTCCTGATTTTCTAGCTGATGACTGCTTTGTATGCTTTCTAAAAATTGTTTGCTTTTTTCAGATTTTTGTTGGGGAAGACTAGATAATCTTGATCCATGACCAAACCTATTAGCTTCTGCATTAAAGTGATGTCTGTGTTGAGTTGATGATAATGGATAAATATCTTCAAAGTATTCCACTTCAGGTAATAAGTACAATTCAGGATAAAGTGCCTAAAATATGCAGTATAGTCATCAGACAGGACAAAAGAGGAAACGTACAATGTAAAAGTTTCTGAAAAGGATACCTTAAAAGCCATTCAATACATACATAAGGAGGAGCAAACGACTTCAGTTTCAGTTCTGTTTCTTGCTTTTCTTTCACCTTGGAAGATGAAGAATGGAAGTGTAACCAATAAAATACTTTTTTATCAACAATGTTGCATATCACTTAATTTCTGTACTCTATCATCATCTTTACATACTACATTTTTTCGTAACCAGCCCTATCTTCTGTAATGGCCTTATGGGGAAGATGGAACATAGACTACTATTCTATTTTCTGACATGGTACTGAAACTTTATTTTGTTGATTTTTCAAAATCATCAGATCCACAAGAGTACAGGGATGTACTGAATATATTTTTTTTATCCTTTGCACTTTCTCTTAAGTTTCAAAGGACTTCATCCAACAGTCACAGCAGAAGAAAGCCTTCAACTTTCTTTACCAACTGTTGCTTCAAGCTGAATCTGAATGGAAATGCTGAGTCTCACATAATTTTATCTACTCACCTGATACAATACTGCAAAGTACTTAATGTATATAGGAAAAAAAAATCTATTCCTGTTCTCTGTCTTCTTGTATTTATTGCTTGTCTTGATATTCTTTGTGTGATATACACTTTCAGGTTTCCACAGCCATCCAAAAACAAAGTCTAAGATGATCTATGTATATTTCAAGGATGTGCTCCAACAGAAAAAAAAAAAAAAGCAATCTGAGCTTACATTTAATTAATGAATTTGAACTAAACATGGGGCCAAATACTGTTCTCAAAAATGGCCAGGCAATGCCTTTGATTCACTTTTGGAGACACAGGCCATATGCAAGAAAAGCAAGAGCAAATTAACACGATTTTGGTTTATGTTTATTTTTCATTTAAAAGACCCTTACTTGCAAGTAGGGCACCGCTCTTAGCACCACTTACATTGTTACTGTTGTGAAATAGAAGACTGGGGGGGGGCAGGCAGTGTGTGTATAAAAACACTCAACAAATATTTGATCATGGAGATGTAATTCAATGAGGTTACCATGACCCTAAACAACAAATAAACCAGTTAGTTGGTTTATTGCTTTACACTTTGTTATAAAGTTAAACATCAAGCAACAGTAAATATCCCAAGTTAAAACTGTACGTTTGTCATTAAAAATCTTCACTTGTATCTACCATTATCTTTAATTTTCTATTAAAATAAAATATTTCATTAATTTCCTGTCATTCTAAAGGAAACTGGAAAATTTCTCCATTTAGCTCCGAAGTACCAGTAAGGAAGAAAACACAACATGTTACTTATTATCATTCAGTTAAAGACCTGAATTCTTCGAAGACATTAGGCACATTTTCAGTTTTAGATTGTGTCACAGTGTTTAACTTTCTCTTCATGTTTTTCCATCTAGTTTTTGCATATTACCTAGTATTTATTCTAGTCTTCTATGTAAGTAATTTTAGTGATAACTCAACTACAAATGAAATAAAGAACAGCACCAAATTTCCAGCTTGTAATTAATTTCCAAATCAGTGAGAAGTAGTTGAAATGAGAGGTGAAAAAAGTATTCCATACTTATGTACCTGACTTAAGTCTTTGTATATTACAAGAACAAACTTTCAGTTGGGTTGATTTTCAAGTTCATTTAATCTTTAGCTATAGTTTGTAAGATATAAATATATAGAGAATCAATGTGAGGAACAGTTATGATTCAAAGACGTAGGTTTTTGATTACATACATCTCAGGCTGTATTACTGGACTAATTAGCGGAACGTAAATGTACATCGGGAGAAGTTTCCATTCAGAAACTGATCTTTTAAAGGCATTTGGGCAGTTCACAGTAGGAACCATCAGAGGAACTCTTACTTACTCAGCTTTCACTGCAAATTCTTCAACTGCCACATTCCCAACCATGTACTGGTAATAACAACCTTAAGGGGATTTTTTTTTTAATGCAATCAGATTTGTCGCATTTAATCCATTAATTTATCAAAACTAGCACCTTTTCACTGGATGGCAACTAATAACATCTGATGCTTTAAAGGATGTTTCTAATATACCTGTCCAGCTGTGTCTTTGTATTTATGTGCTCTGACAAGAGCTTATGCTACAGCATGTTTAAAACCAAATGCTAACAGTGGTCCTAAAGTTATCCCTATTTTCTTGTGATATTATCTAATCTGCAGGAATGAAATCTGTGGTTTACATTATAAAACAGAAGAGCACTAAAAAAACCCAAAAACTTACCACTGCTAGTTTTTTCCCAATGCATTTTAAAAATTTGAATTTATCTGCAACTGCAACTCCACCCAGGTACTCTCCAAGCTTCTCCCGTAGCACTCTTAATGTGATGTGAGGAGACACCCTAGAATGTTGTTATTCATTAATACATCTGTAAGACCAAATAATGATGGCTAGTTAGTAAGAGGGGGAAGATAATGCTATATACATGCTGGCTTGCATGGACAGAATGACCAAAAATGTAAACTATGTCCTAGAACTGTACCTAATTACATATAGGCCAAAGAATCTTGGTATGGTAAAGTCAGACTATTGTATCTCATTATGGTAGACTGTATTAAAAAGGCTGTCATAACGTTAACCAGCAATATTCATATTTTAGGAATCCCATACAAAGGGAGAATATGGAAGTAGCTGAAATTTGAAAATGACTCCTTCAGAATGCTCTTGCTCATCTGCAGATGAATAACAAAAACATTGGAAAATACAGTCATGCATTTCCATACAGGTGACACAGTTTCATGGGGCTAGTCCGGGACTGTAGAACATAGAATGGTTAGGGTGGGAAGGGACCTCAAAGATCATCTAATTGACATGATATTTCTTACATACCCCTTCAAGCATTGGAGGAGACTTCACCACCGCCCACTTTAAGTAGCAGGCACATTCCTTTGATTTGGTCTTCAACACAAATTTACAGTTGGGTGTGTGCATGCATACAGCAAATGTATTTTAAATCAAAACCGAACACTGCAGTGTGAACATTTCCACCAGAGTTTGAGGACAAAAGAGCTGATGCAAATATTAATTGCATCATTTAATGTACTACTGGAAACCATGCAAATATCACAGTAATGAGCAGTACAAAGATTACTATAGAATAAAAAACATCTCTGCAGGATAAAAACAAATGTGCAAGAGGCACACAAAAGCTCTGCAGCACAACATAAGCAATTCTAAATGCTTCTATGCCACCATATAAAATAAACCAGGGAACAAATTCAGGCCTGAGACTGTTAATCACCCATGCTGATTTGGCCCAGGAAGCTATCACTCTTCAAGCAACGCACAAACATAGCTTGGGGGATAGCACATGTCATTCTCAGTAAACAGTACAGACAAGAACGTGTCATCCCTTCAACTTGGACAGGTCTTCAAAGTTAACCTATCAGAGTTTGTTTGCACCTTCAAACAGTCCAATATGTCTTAATTTCACACCCTAAGTATGTAAAAACACTCAGTTTCATCTCCTAAACACAGTACTTCAGTGGGCTATGATGCTTCCCTCACATTATTTCAAACACCCTGGACTTAGAGGACCATCTTCAAGATCATAAATCCGCCTTGGAGCACAGGCATGCAGCAGAGACTAAAATCTGCAGAGTGGACACATCTAGGCCACGCTGCCTCGTCCCTGTACATTTAGCTCCTGTTTATTTTGATCCCAGCCTTTTTTTTTTTCCCACGCTTGCTGCAGATATTAGCCCTAATGTCATTTATTTCAAATGCATAAAGAAATATGTGAAAGATGGATACATAATTCAATACATATCCTTCCAAGGTCTTATGTGAGAACAGAGATGATCTATAGTTCAACTATCTCTCATTCACTATCATTTCTTCAAGCTGATGTCTCAGAGAAGATACGCTCCTTGAATGGTCATCTGATACCCAATAAATGCAAGCTCTTTCAGAGGCAATTCTAATATTGCACATCCTTCTCTGATAATGCCTGTCCAAACCAGCAAGAAAATCTAAATCTAAGGCATTTACGAACAGCAGGGAAAACACCTAAGTAACTACAATGTATCATGGGAGAAAATCATCTAGGTATACAGAATCTGAGATATGGGGCAGAAATTTTTGCCAGCGCAGCTGCTATGAACATATAATAATATATTTCTTACTTGCTGCCACTGGCTAGTAGAAGACTAGACAGATCTGAGTAATTTGCTTCAGGGCGTTCCTTTAAAAGTCATGCAAATGAGTTCATTGCAGCCATCTCACCTAGAAATCACAAAAGTATGGCTTCTGTGGTGAGGAATGAGGAGTAAATAAAAGATCACAGAGGCTGAGAAACCAAGTTCATGGGAACAAGAACTCAAGGTCATAGACAATTACACACTTAACATTTTCCTCTGATTTCATGATTAATGGAAGTGGCCTGTACTTAGACACCTAAGAATCCTTTGTTAAGCTGACTGAGACAGTGCTAGGATTGTCAAGCTGACTGGACAGAGCTATCAGCAACAGCCAAACAGCATTAGTACCAGCAAGGCTGCTGGTCCCTCTCCTGGATTATAATAAGAGAAGTTTTTAAAAATATTTTTTTGTTTTTAAAAACAGTGATACACTGGCTAGGTGCTACTTATTGCTAATGCTAATGTACTGCAGCATTGCATAATACCCATAGGATAATTAATTAGCAATTAAATAATTAGAAAGACTCATTAGCAAGTAACAAATACCAAGACAGATGCAAACCCACTGAAATTAATGAGAAGCCCAATTTAAGTTCATGCCTCAGATTTGAGTCTTAGTGAAATAAATTTAAACTAGAGAACAGTGGGCAGTGATAGATGTCCAATATCATGAAATGATTTGGAGTTACCACTCCAGCTGTGTATTTTGCACCTCTGCTGTCGACTCAAACAAACAAAATAGAAACATGCACTTATTTCCCCTGGTTTTGAGTAGCCTTTCAACAAAAGAAGCTGCGAGAATTAATATATTCTGTCCTACATGCTCATACCTGACTGCTGCCAATCTTTTCAGCTACACAGTATGTTGTCTTACGTGGACAATACAAGCCTAAATTTAAATTATTTAAAACCCATATTCCCTGCAGTTTAAGTTAAACTGATAGGTTTTGCACAGGAGCAGACAAAGGGCACGTAAAAGCAAGCTCTGTTTCAATACACATCTTTACATTATTTGATTTTTCTACAACTTCTTACCACACTAGATACACACAGATTTTGTAAGTAAAGTGTTTGAGAGTATAAAATAAACTTTCAAACTCATCAAAGGTTAAAACTGCAACTCTGTGCCAGGTTTGGGCCTAGGACTGGAAACCGGGGTATCCTTTCACTAAGTCCTCTAAACAACCACCTGAGAGCACATATCAGCCACATGCTGATATGGGCAACCTTTCAGAAACAGCACTGAAGATGAAAGAAGATAACGCTGTTGCTTGCATGGACTGTAACGTTTCCCCTTGAAAAACATGGCTTAAGCTCTTTCTTCAGACTGAGCTCAGGTTGTCACATCTCTGTTCCTGGGAAGTGACAGGCTTTCCTGCCTTCACTGAGCCGCTCTGTCTTGAAGATGACCCATTGCCATAAAGAATTCAAGATTTTGATAATCAGAATTAATATAAGACTGTGATTTTACAACATAAATTATTCTGCAGAAATACTAGCACTGCTCTGGAAGTACATTTCAATGGTCTACATCTTGGGCTGCAATGGAGCCTGATACAGTCCTAACAGATACAAAACTAGTCATGGGCACCACTTACCCTCCAGAAAGGATTAAAGAACAAATCTCTTCTGACAGACATAATTGTGCTCTATAGAGCAACAGCTAGGCTAAATGACTGAGGGACAATGTAAAGGATCTACCATGTACACAAAACCTAAGACTATACTCACCTTATAAACCCAGCTGAGATGAATTTGCTAGTATGAGCTACAGGAACTGTATTCAGCTTGAAGTTCCACACTTCTTCTGGGACATAAAAAACATGGAGCTCCACCAACTAAATAAAGAACAGATGATCATAACTGTAGATATATTATAAACCTCTTCCTATATGCTTTGTTTTGCTTAAGTGGACTTTCAATTTCTGGAGGTAGAATGGTTTCTTAGATGTTAGCACACCGACTAGAAGAGTGAGGCTCTATCTCACAATGATGCCTAGACAGTGACAATAGCGACTAGTAGAGTAATTTGCAATTGCATACCAGCTGACAGAATCAAAATAAGTCATGTTAGAACAAGCTCAACAACGGAAATGAGAGAAAAGAGAGCCTGCAGTACTGCTGTATGTCACTGTGACAGCAACGGACAGAGCTTACCAAAAACAGTTGATACTCTGGAGTGTGTTATGGTTACAAGAATACTTCAGCTGAAATCCTACCTTTGTTCATCTTATAAGAAGTGCAAAGCCCTGAAAGTTTGATCCAAAGAGCACAACAACTTGGCCTTGCAAGCAAGGAGAAAAATTCCAAATATTTCTGACACTTGTTAATAATATTAGCTGCCTTGGAAGCACATAAATGCTCCTGGTAATGTCTGCAACAAGAATAACTAAGCCTGCTCTCAGCAAGGTTCACTTAGATTGTGTTCAAACCTGTGGTACTTGTGAGACTGTTAATGTCTGGGTCTTGATATTTTTAATGCAAATCAGATGGTATTGACAAGGACGATACACTTCCTTATAAGTAGAAGCCATGCAAATAAGCTATAGTAAACATTTCTGCAACTGTCGAGTTACTAAACTAGAAAAGAATATTTTCTATATATACTATGTTAAAAGCATGGGGTTTTTTCCTCTCAGGTCTGCTAGAAATGGTGCAGTGTCATTTTAATATTTTTATTTGTGAAATCTAAAAAATCTCTATGGAAAAGTACAAAAACTCTCACCTGGGATGTTCGAGGTCTCATTTGACTGAACGACATGTCGGTCCCTCTACTTGATCACAGCAAATGCCAGGCGGGATTTCTAATTTTCTTTTTGTTCGAAACATTCTTTAAGAATGAGTTTCATGATAATCTGTTATAAGAGAAGTTACTCCATTAATGTATTTTATTTTCATTTACTGTTCTTTCGATTTATGAAAATGGAGAAGTTGTTCCTGTGCTGAGGCAGAAGGCTTCCAGCTAACAGCAGACAAACAGACTCAACCGCACCTTCTACACAAGTGAGTATCACCTAAGTAACTGGGGAATTGCTAAATCACAGTCCTGCGGCTCCGCGAGATCTGCCCTGGGGTATTTCCTCTTCACATTTCCTGCTCTTTAAGAGAAAGGACTTCAGTTGTATATAATTTTCTACACAGTTGTACTGTCTTCCTAAGGACACAGACCTAAATCCCCACAAAACAGGATTCTTGCAGGGTCTGGGTTTATCTCTGACAAAGGGACAGTTATTGTGAACCACAGCCAAACCACGTGCACAGCACGTTGCGCCAGACACAGTATTCCAAGGAAACCTGACTGTGCTGAGCAAACAAAAAAATCCTTTCAGAAACCATGGTTCTGCCCTAACTTCGTCAAGACTTTTCTCAGTGCTCCCACTTTGAAGGCCCTTCCAGCACCTGAGAGGTTACAAACCTCATTCAGATTTTCAGCCTCCTGAACGCTGCTTCGAAGTCACCTTTTCTTAAGGGCAAGTGACCAGCCCTTCCAGATGACCCTCCAGGTCTCGCCCTGGCTCCGCGCAGTGGAATTAGGTGTCCGTATTTGTCCCGTCACAGTTACATCGCAACAAGCTCTCACAAGAACACCCATCGCTTCTCCACAGTTACTCCCAACCACAGACAGGGCAGGGCAGGTCGCAGCACAAGTTCTTCCCACTAGTCCCTGTGTATCTATCGTATTTCCGTGTTTCCAGGCGGTTCCCCCTTGCCGGGCACACCGAGCCCGCAGGCGAACACCCCCGAACCACCACCGCTCGTTACAAACCCGACGGGCGCTCGG